TGCCCGGCCTGCGGAAGGCCAGCTCCGCCCCGCGGCCCACCCCCGAGGGCCCGGAGCCCGCCGCCAGCCCTTCTCTAACTTCGGGGGACGCCGACTTGGCTTCCAGTCAGCAGCAGCAGGCCCCGCGGCCGGAGAAGGCGGAGGCTGCCGAACCCGGTCCCAGAGGAGCCCAGCGGAGCACCGGAAGCGCGTCTGGGCAGGTGCCCGGAAGTGACGTATACGCTCTCCAAGGCCCTCCACAGAGCGCGGCTGAGTTTCCGGGACCACACTACCCAAAAGGCGCCGCGGCCACCGCCCTGAGCCAAGTTCACCCCTGGCAGACGACGGCTGCAGTCCCTTGACCGAAAAGACACGTGACACGTGACGTCACCGACGCTGCGGGCGAGAAGGGACAGTCCCTTAAACTGCGGCGGTGTTAAGAATACGTGTATGCCCTGCAGGATTTCTCCACGTAAGCGTCCCCACGTGACACACATGTGTGTGAAAACAGGGCAAATCACAGCATCTGTAACGATCTTGTTTTTAAGTCTTGCTGGCTCAGTGTGGCGATGCAGGACTGTAGCTCTTGGGAGGCTGAGGCTGGAGGATTGCGAGTGTGAGGCCTGTGGTGGGGGCGGAGGTGGGGTCTATTAACCGAGGTAAGCGCGAGGCGCTTGACTTTCTGACTGCTGTGCTGGAGGAGAAGCCATCATCATTTTATACTTTTAGCAAAGAAAAAACAGCACGCTAATAGCTTTTTAACAATACCAGCCCTCTCACATACTCATACAGGCGTCTGGGAAAACGAGGTGCATGGGTAGGAAAAGTTTGGAAGTGACTCCAGCTCCAGCCACCACCAGCCTGACCTTGCAAACAGAGCCCGATTGGAGATCACTCATAAGCCAACCTCCTAAATGGTGAGAGAGGGGAGCCATAGACGCTGCCGCTTTATGCCACCAAGGTTGGAGTGGATGATCACTGTCCAACAGAGAACTGATTCAAGTTGGTTCAAATGAGTCATCAAAGATAAATGCAGGCCAGAGGCTGGCATAGGTGGTGTTTGATACTAGACTGGAACAATGGGGTGCACAGGCTGTTTGGGAGGAGAAGAGAATGAACAGAAACAGGAGAGAGAAGGGGCGGGAAGAAGAAGATAAGCTATGGTGGGGGAAGGAGAAAGAGAATATGGCAGACAGGCAAGCAAACATTGGATCCTGCAGTTTCCATAGTGGCCACTGGATGGAAGCAGTATCATGAATCCTGTGTTGTAATGCTCATCAGGAAGGAGTGTTAACAGCCCAGCACATGCCTGACAGAATGTACTATTGAATGAGCCTGAGTTACTGTACCTGACATTGCCCTGATCACTGAGAGATGAGATCACCCAGCCTGGCTGAGATGAATTAGCCTGTCCTTGGAGGGTGAGGTTCAGTTCCACCCCATCAGCCTCTCTTGCTGTGATTATTCTCCAGAAGGGAAGAATGGATACAGGAGTCAAATAAGGATTCTGGAGAGAATTACAGATGCTGGGGAGGGAGCATGGGGAGAAGGAATCTACCATGGAGGCAAAGGGCAAGACTTCTGGATGAACCCTTCCTCTCAAGGCTCAGAAAAGGACCTGGGAAAAGCCAGTGTTCCCTCCTGTCACCATAACAACATAATGGAGTCACAGTCACTGGGCTGGCAGTGGGCAGGGGTGAAGGTTCAGAGATATTCCAGGAAATCTTGTATTGGATCATCCCCCTATGGTAGGCTCATGTGGGATTAACTACAGGGGTAAGCACCTGGGTCTTTGCAATTGGCAAGGGGGTGGTTGTTTGGCCAAGAGAACAGTAAGTCTAGAGAAACATATACTACCTCTATGTGTCCATGTGAGAAAACTGAAGGTGGGAGAATACAACGGCCATGTCCCAGATCACAAGCGAAATAACAGCAGTGCAGTGCCTCTAGACTTCCTAGTCATCTATTTATTGTTGGGACCTTGTGCTGTCCATGCTATCAGCTGTTCCTTCCTGTCTCTCTTGAGCTCGATCTGTCTCTTGGCACCAGGTCTGCTCCTGAAGCAGCAGTGGGGTGGGAGCTGACAATAGTCACCCAAGCAAATGCTGTCAAACTTTTTCTTTTGTCAGTCATGGGGTTTGAACTCTGGGCCTGGGTGCTGTCCTTCAGCTCAAGGCAAGCACTCTACCACTTGAGCCACAACGCTACTTCCAGTTTTCTGAGAGGTTTATTGGAGATAAGGGTCTCATGGCCTTTCCTGCCTGGGCTGACTGACTGAACCATGATCCTCAGATCTCAGCCTCCTGAGTAGTTAGGAGCTGGTACCCAGCTCCATCCAACTTTTTTTTTTCTCTGTCGGTTGTGGGGCTTGAACTCTGGGTTTGGGCACTGTCCCTGCGCTCTTCAGCTCAAGGCAAATGCTCTATCGCTTGAGCCACAGCACCACTTCCAGTTTTCTAGTGGTTTATTGGAGATAAGAGTCTCACGATCTTTTCTGCCCAGGCTGGCTTTGAACCGTGATCATCAGTTCTCAGCCTCCTAAGTAGTTAGGATTACAGGTGTGAGCCACCGGCACCCAACTCCATTCAACTTTTAACTGCCTCCATCTCTACCTCATCCATCACCTCCATCCCATGCCTGGGTGGTGATTCAGCACTCCACACAGCTGGACAGCTCCCATCTTGGGGATTCTCGGCATTCGGAAATGGACAGATTCTGAGCTGTCAAAGTACTTCAAGAAAGGGATAGAGTCCCACTTGAGTTGTTTAGCTACCAGTCAGAACTTGGACAGGTGATTTTGGGAAGCAGGGCTGTTGTCCCTCTGCTGGATAGGGGAGGTACCGTTTGTCTCCCTTGTTCTCTGGTCTCATCCACTCCAAGAGGCAGACACTAGTGCTCAAGTCAGCCACATTATCGGGTGCTGGCCAAAGCAACGGGTGTCACTCACTGGCTAAACATTCAGTCAACTGCTGGAGACCTGTTCAGACTTCCTTCCTGTACTTCCTACACCTTGGAAGTACATATTGCATGAGGCTGAAATGAGCTGGATCTTGAGGTCACAAAGGAAATACAGTACACTTGAGAGATGGCATTGGGTGAGCAAGCAATGTGGTTTTGTGTGCTAACTCAGGAAATGTTGGGGGTCATTTGTTACTGCACCAAAACCTAGCCCATCTTGACTGGCAACACAGCTTTCCCCCAGAAATCAGGAAAAGACAAGGACAGATTCTGCTTTAGAGACTCTAGAGGAAGCTTGGCCTTTCTGAGCCAGCGGAGGAATTGAAGCCCAGGTACTACAGGCAGGTGATGCCCAGGCACCTTGCATGGGTGAAGACCCACATTCCAGTGGGTGCTGCCTCCACCACATGGGCACATTGGCTGTACTAGTCGGTCTGTGATCAACAAGGTCACCAGGTAACAGTTCATGACTATACCCATGTGGTGGCTTTGGCTGCCACCAGGACCACAATCCTCAGATCTCAGCCACTTCAATAGCTAGAAGTACAGGTGTGAGTCACCAGGGCCCGGATCCCAAAGCATTTCTAAGTATTGTATCACCTCCTACTCAGGGCTTAGGCATAGGGGGATGAAAACACTGATGTTAAGGACGGACAGATTCTTCATCCTTGTCATGTTCCCTTTAACTCTCTTTCTAACTTCCTTGTCTCCCTGGGCTTCACTCCACAGCTTGAAAGGTTCTCCACTCCCCTTCCTATCTACCTGTGTACCATACAGTTTCCACATTCCAGACCTCAAAATTAGCCTTTTTTTTTTTTTTTTTTGGTCAGTCGTGGGGCCTGAACTCTGGGCCTGGGCACTGTCCCTTAGCTCTTCAACTCAAGGCAAGTGCTCTACCACTTGAACCACAGCGCCACTTCCAGCTTTTTCTGCTTATGTGGTGCTGAGGAATTGAACTCAGGGCCTCATGCATGCAAGGCAAGCACTCTACCACTGAGCCACCTTCCCAGCCCCAGAAATTAGTCATAATGACAAGAAGCTGTCAGAAAAAAAATCAGACATCTAAGAAGGAATTAGTGGATTAGGATGCATTTGAGAAACATGGATTTGCCTTACTGAATCAACACAACAATTTGGTGAAGTAGGGATAATTAGTCAGGAGGCTTTGCCTCCACCTCTGAGCACCTCTGCCCTGGGGATCAAGCCTTTTCATTTCATGAGTCTTTGAAGGGCATTTCATATAGAAACTGTAACAAGTAGCTTTTCAGTTCCCCACCTTATAGGTGAAAATATAAATCTCAGAAGTGGAGTTCAAAAATGGATTTATATGCTGGGCACCAGTGGCTTATATATGTAATCCTAGCTACTCAGGAGGCTGAGATCTGAGAATCACGGTTCAAAGCCAGCCAGAAAACTGGAAGTAGCACTGTAGCTCAAGTGGTAGAGCGCTAGCCTTGAGCTGAAGAGCTCAGGAACGGTGCCCAGGCCCAGAGTTCAAGCCCCACAACCAACCAGAAAAAATGGAGTTACACAGAAAGTGACTGAGTTGAAGGCTGGGACTTTCATCTTAACCCAGTGGACTCCCAAGCATATTAGTTTTTCATTATGCCATGTACAAGTCAAGGAGGACCTCCTGGAGGAGGTGAATCATGAGCTTCATTGTAGGCCAAATCAACTGGGATGAGGGGAATGGGCAGCGTCAGACACAGCTGTATAACTGAGCTCTGACACACACATTTCTCTACACGCTGTGCTGGGAGTGACAGGGCCCCTCGCCCTTTCCCAGTTTGCTTTGGTAGAGGGGTGCATGGGGTAAAGTTTGAGGAAGGTAAATCTTTTTTTAAATTTATTTTATTTTATTTGTGAACATACTGTACAGAGGGGTTACAATTACATGGGCAGGATAATGCGTACATTTCTTACCAAGCATTGCAGCCTTGAGGAAGGTAAGTCTTATGCTGTGGTTAAATTTATTCCGTGTCCATGGAAGGAGGGCCGCTGCCCCGCCCCCTTCAGAGAGATTGTTTAAAGATGGAAACAACTCATCAGCTGACTCCATTGCTTCTGGTGAGACACAGCCAGCACAAGCTATTATTGTCTGTTGTGCTCTGATTTTTAAAAGAAGGATTCCAGTATTATTTGTACAACTAAAAAAGAAAGTATGGATGAGTCATTGTCCAAATGAATGGCTCTGTGAGAGGGGGTGTCTCTTAGAGGCTGGCTGGCAGCTGTTGATGGCCTCTGAAGGAGGCAGCCGTGAGGAGGACAAGCAGCTGGAGTCCCCAGCTCCACGAGGTGCTGACTTGCAGCCCCCAAACACCTCCCAGTGGGGACAGATGGAGGAATAGGTGTGTGTGTGTGTGTGTGATTGAACGCAGGGCCTGGGTGCTGTCCCTTAGATTTTTTTTCTTTTTGAGCAAGGCTGGTGCTCCACTACTTGAACCACAGGCCCACTTCTGGCTTCTTGGTGATGAATTTGAGATAAGAGCCTCTTCAGCTAGCTTCGAATTGTGATCCTTAGCAGCTCTCAGTCTCCTGCAGAGCTATTAGAGTCATGAGCCATCCTCACCCTGCTCAGGCCCCAGCTAGGGGATGTGTGACCATTGAGGCTCAGAGAGGCCACCCAGGGCAGCAGCAAAACCAAAGTTACTGCTCACATCAGTGCCACTCCAGACTCTAGCCCCTGCCCCACCTCTCCAAGTTCTTCTTGGAGCAATCATGTCCATCCTGAGGAGGGGATCCGGGGAGAGGAAGGAGCCCCCAGGGGCAGCGGCCGGCCTTGACGCTGACTGTACTTTTGCTGGAGCCGAGCATGCAGATGTTGGACCCGTCGGGCTTCCTGGGCAGAGAAGAAGGAGGCAGCAATGCTGTGCCGCAGGCGCCGGGCGTAGGTGCGCAGCAGCACGGTGCCACCCGCTAGGAGCTGCAGGGTGCCAGCAGCCAGGGGGCCTGCGGCACAGGGTTGTTGGGCGGGCAGCAGTGGACAGTGGCCGGAGGTGAGGTGCAACTCCCACTGGTAGGAGCCGTGCGTAGAGACCCAGGGGCTCTGGGGCACAGGCTGGTTGAAGAGGAAGGGGATGAAGCCCAGGGCTGTGTATGCTGCCTTCAGAAAGGAGAAAGAAAGGTTGCAGTCAGCCACCCAACCACTGCCCAGCAGTCTCCCACCAGCCAGACTGGCAGGGACTAAGGGCCCCACATCCCTACCCTCACCTGAAAAACAGGGGGAGAATGAACCCACCACCCAGAGTTTAAGGAGGTCCAAATGGGATTGAAGCTGAAACCAGTTCTTTTGTAAAAGTTACAAACACCATACAAATATTATTATTATTATTGTTATTATTATTATTACTTTGGTATTATAGAGAAAACCAGTTCATGCTCTGGGCATTCATTCAGCCCTCTACTCTTCCATCCAATAGACACAGGCCTGTGAGGTTGAGGCCAGCAGAAGCCTCATTAAAAGGGCAGTGGGGGCATCCTGCCCAGTGTGGTGGCTCGTGCCTGTAATCCTAGCTACTGAAAAAGTGGAGCTCCTAGAGACTGCATTCTCAGCCCAATGGCAGGCAGGAGGAGGGTAGGGTGGAGTAATTAGGAGAGAGTAATTGGGCTAGTGTCATCCCAGCTGCCAAGCCAGTCTGGGCAAAAAGTGAGACCCTATCTCAAAAAGCAACCAGAGCAAAAGAAGATAGGGTTGTGGCTCAAATAGTAGAGCACCTTAGCTCAAAACAAAAATTCACAGTGAATTCAATGTGACCATCTTGGATGTTCTCCCCAGCTAGGCGGGTCTTACTGTCCTGCTCTTCAAGTTGGGCTGTGCCTAGGTTTGCGAGGGCACGGAAGAATGCAGCGCAGAGAGATGGAAGATCAGAGGGGAGCCCCAGGACTTCAGTACCCAGCTGTTTGCATGAGACACAGCCGGGGACCCTAGAACTGCACTTTTAGCAGCTCATGAGGATTTTTTCCTCTATTTAGAATCAGAAGTAAGGTGTTATGTGCAGCATCTCTGAGCCTCTTATCTTCCTCTGTATGTGGGGAGGATGATTGTTCTGGTCTGCGAGCTTTGTAGTGGCATTCAAAGTTGAGACTCAAGCTTGTTCACTTTTTACCGTCTTTGGAATCGGGCTTTGTCTTAAGGTCAGCAGGACGTGTTGGTGCTTCCAGCAGCCCTGCCATTGGCACTGCACGTGCAGACAGGCACTTCTCCGGGTGCTGGGCTCAGAACATCACTGCAGCCCAGCTACAAGCACTGCGGGACTGGGCGCAGTCTGCCCTTCCAGAGAGATTGCCATCCAGCAAATGTCTGGCCTAGAAGTGAATGGTTCTTGTGGCCAATGAAACCTAGGATAGGGCAGCTGGGGCTTGATTGTGGAGAGAGCAAAACAAGTAGTTGTGCGCCCACACATACATGCCTGGGTGTGTGTGTGTGCACACGTGTGTGCATGCGCATGCACGTACACGCACACCTGTTGCTGTGGCTTAAACTCAGGGCCTGATATTGTCCTTTACCTTTTTCACTTAAGGTTGGCACTCTACCACTTGAGCCACAACTCCACTTCCAGCTTTTTGGTGGTTAACTGGAGGTAAGAGTCTCACAGACTTTCCTGCCTGGGCTGGCTTGGAACTATAATCCTTAGATCTCAGCTGAGTAACTAGGATTATAGGCATGAGCTGCCAGCACCACTGCAAGCAGTCACTGTTGAGGAGTGACCGCGTGGATGGGTTACAGTCTTGCCAAGCAACAACCTACACAGGGACTTCATGGAAGTGGACAGGACTGAGTCATGCTGAGTCACTGAGCCATGTGCCAAAGGCCAGTTGGCCACACTCAGTGAGAGGCAGGAGGAAGTTTCACTTTGGGAAAGGAAGATTGTTGGGCATGGAGGAGTAGGTCCAACGCATGTTTTCTCAGATGATCAGGGAGGGCCAGCACCAACCCTTGCAAAGCTGATAACCCAAAGTTGGAAGAAAATGCTGGAGAGATGAGGGAGGAGCACCAGGCACAGGGAGGTTGGAGATGAGGCTCAGACTTGACAACTGGTCCAGAGTCATTCAGAAGCCCTGGGCTTGATCTGGAGCAAGCCAGGAAAATCAATAACGACTTCCCCGTGTTTCTTGTGTGTGTGTGCATGAGATATGACCAACTAACTCTATGTTAAATGCTAAGTGAACTACTTTCTGTGACCACAACTGAGATGGAAAGTGATAAGTATCCATTAAGGATGGACAAACAGCGCTTTCCCTTAACAATATATGAAATGATAGGCTGACTTGGAATGGGGGTGTCTTAGGCTTGATGAATTTGATCCAATTAGAGGCCACACACTTCTTTCTTGTGACCTATGGGAAGCCATCAGGCACATATTGTATTTGTGATTGGAGAAAACTTTCATAAGATGATTCCCTTACCATTTACAATAAACTCTAATTTTCTAGCTTACTTTCTTGCATAAAAAAATAGGGGCTAGGGGCTGGGAAGGTGGCTCAGTGGTAAAGCTCTTGCCTTGCATACATGAGGCCCTGGGTTCGATTCCTCAGCACCACATAAGCAAAAAGAAAAAAGCCGTAAGTGGCGCTGTGGCTCAAGTGGTAGAGTGCTAGCCTTGAGCTGAAGAAGGACAGTGCCCAAGCCCAGAGTTCAGGCTCCACGACCGGACCCCCCCAAAAAAAATAGGGGCTCGGAATGTGGCTTAGTGGTAGTGAGTTTGCCGAGCATGCGTGAAGCCCTGGGTTCAATTCCTCAGTACCACATAAACAGAAAACGCCTGTGGCTCTAGTGGTAGAGTGCTAGCCTTGAGGGTAAAAAAAAGGATGCTCAGGGATAGTGCCCAGGCCCTGAGTTCAAGCCCCAGGACTGGCAAAAAAAATAATCTGGCTGTGGCCACCTAAATTTTGGTTGACTTGATTTTGTGCAGTTTAAAAGAAAACTTCCTAGATATCAAATGTACTCTGATAAATATATCATTTGTGTTACAGCACAGGATCTATCCTAATGTTTCATACAACAAACTTCTGTGTGAGATCTCACAAAGTAAAGTGAAAAGATTTCAACAAGAGATTGAAAAACACAAATCTTGGCCTGAGAGTAAATACATCCTACTGCAAGTAGCTTGACTAACATCTATATATGTATATATATATATATGTATGTATGTATGTATATACGTATATATTTGGATTGTAAATACTCTTGGTTGTGTAGGTAATACAGTCCTACCTGACCACTACCTCACCATGCCTTTGTACAGCAGCCCAGATAATACAAAAATAGGTAGAAGGCTGTGTTCCAATAAACTTTATTTACAAAACTGGAAGACAGCTGGAATTGGCTTGAGGGTCATAGGTGGCCTACTCCTGCTCCACACCATTACTAAACCTTACATCTAGCCTGACATATCACATGTGAACTGTTAGTAATTATTCCACCACTAGTGAGTGGTTAGTAGAATGTGCTGTGAAGTCAAATTGTTTTGGAGACATTATTTATAGTTTCACAGCCTCTAGAGGCTCCCTGGAGGATTGATTTCATTTCTATAATGAGGAAAATGGGTCTAGAACATTTTGCTATTTAAGAAGACCTTGGCCTTGACCTGGGGGCAAGCAACTTGAAGGTTGAAATAGGGGATGGAAAGAGATTTCATTTCACAAACTAGTGTGTGGGGGTGGGTTCCCTACAACATCTACCAATGCCGGAGGCCCCATGGCTGCTCCAAGAGCTGCCACGGGGGAAACACACAACATTTAGCCACCAGTCAAGGGTTAACACACCCTGCTTCTTCTAGGGAATGGCCCAGGGCCTTCCTTCCCCATGTACTTACGTCATAGTTGATTGTAAGTGTGACAGGTACAGTGGGCAACTGCTGAGCCCAATCCACGGCTGCCTGAGCCAGGAGAAACACCACGTGGTCTGTGGCCACTGTCGCGGCTGTGGCCACCATGAGCAGCCCCAGCAGCCCCAGCCTCAACGCACAGCTCCACAGTTCCTCTTGGGACAGCTTCGGCTGGGCCGTCTGCAGCAGCCAGGAGGGTGAATGGGCTAGCAGATGTGTGGCTCTGGCCTGTGCCAGCTGCTGAGCCAGCTTCTGAGTTGCATAGATGTTGTCAAACTGCAGGTCCGAAAGGTAGCGATGGAGGTACCAGGCCGACTCCAGGAAGAGGCCTAGAATAAACAGGCCAGTGGCCAACCACTGGGTCCCCAGAGCTGCCATCCGGACCAAGGACTCCAGGCCAGAAAAGTCCTCCAGGACCTGCTGAGTGACCCTGAGCATATGCAGGCGGAAGGCAGAGCCATTGCCCTGGGCCTCCAATGTCAGCCCCCGGCTGCCGGCTTGGCCTTTGGGGCCCAACAGCCTGGACGCCTCGTGCAGCTGCTGTGTGGTATTGAGCAGACTCTCCAGGGAGCCCTCAGTGACACATCTCAGCACCTGCCCTGCCGCGTTCACGTTGGCCAAGACATTCGGCACCACAGCAACGGCCAGGGTGGTAGCACTGTAGGACAGGAGAAGCCGGTGGCCCTGTTCGGTGCCCAGGATAGGCACACTAAGCGCAAACAGGCATCGGACTGGGGGCATCAGGCCCAGGCTGAGGAAGAGCAGGAGGCCACAGACAGTCGTCACCCCAGCTGAGGGTCCCAGAGGGTAAAGCTGAGAGGAGACCAGCCAATGATGAATCAGACCTGTGGCAGCCATAGCCAGGGGTCCACAAAGGAGGAGCTGGGTTAGCAGCTGACCATAGCTGGCTGGGACAGGCTGGCAGAAGGCATCCCAGGCAGCCTGCAAAGGAACAAGCACTTTGCATATTCCTGAGTGCCAGAATCTCCATCTGCATACAAGGAAATAGGAGGACCCTCTGTCAGGAGGATAAGGTGTCTTCCCACTCTCCCTGCCCTGAAAAATCAGAACAGGCACACCCTCCAGGTGGGCCAATCAGGGATACCCATCCCCTATCCACATAAGTAAACCAATCAGAGGGAACCACCCCTTTCAATATGACACAGATGAACCAATCAGAGCCTTCCCCTGGATTATTCTCTCAGGGGTTGTGAAGTAAGGGCCCAGGGTTATGCAGAGTTCCTTAGCATGTGAGTTTGGTTATCTGGGCTGCCACAATACATGTGCAGTACTGTGAGAGCAATACAAAATGTCATGGAGTGAGATATGCAGATATGAGAGAGAAAGAGTGAAAGAGGAGGAGGAGGAGGAAGAGAAAGAGGAGGAGGAGGAAGAGAAAGAGGAGGAGGAAGAGAGAGGCAGAAATAGTCAAAGACAGAGCAAAACAATTTCTCTGGAATTCATTGTGGCTCAGTGAGTCACCCTAGACTTTTCCTTTCACTCCTCTCCTATCTTTTTCTTTCTTTCCCTCCCTCCCCCTCCCTCCTTTTCTCCCTCCCTCTCTCTTTCTTCCCTCCCCCTCTTTTTTCCTCTCTATTTCTTCTTTCTTTCTTGCTTGCTTGCTTGCTCGCTTGCTCGCTCACTCGCTTGCTTTCTATCTTGCTTTCTTTCTGTTGGTCCTGGAGCCTGAACACTGGGCCTGGGCACTGTTCTTCAGCTCAAGGCAAGTGCTCTACACTTGAGTCACAGCACCACTTCCAGCTTTTTCTGCTTATGTGGTACTGAGGAACCAAACCTAGGGTTTCATGCATGCAAGGCAAGCACTCTACCACTGAGCCACCTTCCCAGTCCTCCCTCCCTCTCTCTTTTTCTTTCTTTTCTCTCCTTCCTTCCTTCCTTCCTTCCCTCCTTCTTCCCCTCCTTCCTTCCTTCCTTCTTTTCTTCCTTCCTTCCTTCCTTCTGGGGATTGAACCCAGGACCTTGCATTTGCCAGGTAAGCACTCTAGCACATGAGCCATGCCCTCAGCCCTTTTGTTTTTTATTTTGTCTTGGAGACAGTCTTATGCTATGTTTTCCTGGGCTGGCCTTGAACTCTTGATCCTTCAGTCTCTACCTCCTGACTAGCTGGAATTATAGGTATGAACTACTGTGTCCAGCTGCCATTTGCTTCTTTAAGGCCTCAGTGTCTCTGTAACTTACAGGCCAGGAGGGTAGATCAATTGACCTTTAGGGAACCTCTCTACTCTACTGCCCTTACATTTATTCACTTAATATATATGTAAGCCGGGCACTTGTGGCTCATACCTGTTATCCTAGCTACTCAGGAGGCTGAGATCACCATCAAAGCCAGCCCAGCAAGGAAAGACCGTGAGACTTTTATCTAGAATTAACCATCAAAAAACCAGAAGTGGGGCTGGGAAGGTGGCTCAGTGGTAGAGCGCTTTCCTTGCATGCATGAGGCCCTGGGTTCAATTCCCCAGCACCACATAAGCAAAAAGAAAAAAAGCCGGAAGTGGTGCTGTAGCTCAAGTGGTAGAGCGCTAGCCTTGAGCTGAAGAGTTGAGGGACAGCGCCCAGGCCCAGAGTTCAGGCCCCATGACTGGACCAAAAAAAAAAAAAAAAAAAACCAGAAGTGGAGCTGCAGTGACACTGCAGAGGGTCAGCCAAGAGTAGCAAGATGCTGGATCTGGGACCTTAGGCACTCTGATGGGCTGTACCACTTCCAGCACTCCACCCCTGGCCCTTGAACAAATTTGGATGTGCATCCCCCTGTATAATTAATATTCAGGACAGGTGTTGGTGCCCCCCACCCCCGTAATCCTAGCTACTCAGGAAGCTGAGCTCTGAGGATCATGGTTCAAAGCCAGCCCAGGCAGGAAAATCTGTGAGACTCTTCTCCAATTAACCACCAGAAAACTGGTGTTGTGGCTCAAATGGTAGAGCTCAGGGACAGCACCCAGGCCCAGAGTTCAGGCCCCATGACCAACCAAAAAAAATTAGTATTCAGAACAGGAGAGCTAGTAAAATAATAGCTACCGGTATAGACCATTTAAGAACTGAAAGCCAGTGCCCATCATACTAGGTGCTACGCTCTGCTGGATGGTGCAAATGATAAGGACACTAGCTGCTGTCCATCCCATGCTTCCTTGAATCAAGCCCTGTATATGCATTTTCTCACATCTAAAATTTTCTGGGACACTGGATTCATTCCCATTTCACAGAGGGGGAAACTGAGGCTCAGAGAGGTGAGGAGTTTCCCAAGGTCATGCAGACAGGAATGGCGCAGCTTTGCCTGTGACCCTCAGTGCCCAAGTCCCAGACCTACCCACTCCTGGCGAGGCGCTGGGTGGCTCCCCACAGGCCCCTCATGTTCCCTGGAGAGGGGTCCTCCGGTGGCTGGCCTCCGGCAGCAGGGCAGGTGGAATGGAGGCGGGCAATCGCTGACCCTCTGGAAGTCCCGTGGCTTCTGCTTTCCCACTCTTTGATTGAGTGCTCCTAGCAGCCTGGCTCCGCCTGCTTGAGGCCCACCTCCCTGGAAGTGGGAAGAGCTGCCTCATGCCCTCCAGGGAGGGGTGGGAGGAGAGCAAGCCGGTCTTCAGCCTTCTGTGATCTGGACCCCCGGAAGGTGTTCCCAGGAGAGTGAGGCTAAGAGCTTCCCTCTGCTCACCCTTCCTCTCCCTTCGGTAGTTCTGTACCCAAGGGGGGCACAAAGATCCCTGACTTCAGGCAGGGGTAGGGTAGGCCAAGAACCCATAGAAGACATTGAGACCCTTGCTGAAACCGAGGTGAGTGACTGCCTGGGCACTGCATTGTAGAGGCAAAATTCACAGCCCTGTGATTACCTCAGAATGCACTGCAAACAGTAGGTGCTCAATACATGTAAAGTTCTTGCCATCAGTGCCCTGCACATCCCCTTCCAGGCTGTTCCAGAGCCCACCCTACCTGGAATGGAGAGACGTCCCTCAACACCTCGGTCCTCCAGTGTCCTGGGGGCCTCTGACCCCCAGGGATCTCTCCTGAGCCCCCCCTATTCTCCACACACAAAGTATGGGTCTTTAGGGGTGGGGGAACAGCCAGGGCATTCCATCTGCCCATCCCCTTGGACTGAAGAAACGCCCGTGGCTAGACCCTCAAGGGCTTGAGTCCCCGCAGAAGGCCCAGGGCCTGTGCACAGCCCCAAGGACCAGGCACACAGATGCAAAGCCATTAGTGACACAGGAATGCCCAGTGCGGGTGTAGCAGCACAGAGGAGGCCCGGCCCATGCTCGCGGTCTTAAGGGGTGTGCGGGCCCCGGCCAGGGGAGGTACCAACTTACAACCTGTGCAGATCTGGAGTGGGCCTGCTGTCTTAGTGTCTAGTGGGGGGCATCTAGCCTCAATCACAGCACCCCCCACACACACTTGAACCCAAATGTTAGCTTTGCTAATCGCCATGCTGTGTAACCTTGAACAAGACACTGTCTCTCTCTGAACTCAGGCCGCCTCTGCTGTAGGCTTTGTGGGAGAGGTCAGTGAGGGACTGAAGAGTGCTCCCTCCTGCCTAGGCTGCCAGCTGTGCCCGAGTGAGCCCAGATTTTGCTGTCCCCCTCCTACTTCATCACCCAGGACACAGCTGAGCACTAAACTGGTCAGAAGAAACAGCCCAGAAGAGGAGGCTGGCATTTGAGCAGTTCTTCTGAGCGCCAGGGAGCCAGCCAGCTGGGGTTTATGTGGGACAATCCCAGGCACAGGTGGATACCACCTCTGTCCATTCAGGCTGGCCTGACCTCAAAGCCCACACATCCGGAGGGGCTGTGAAGTGCCAGAATTAGAACCAGCTTGGCGGAAGGAGGGGAATTTCAGGGTGTGAGACTCAGAGCCATGAGACAGAGAGGAAGCGCACGGGCTCAGTCAGAAGTCAGGGGCCTCTGAGTACAGGAGTCACCGTGGGTGGGGAGTGTGACCTTGAAGCCCATCTGAGAAGCTGCTGGAAGCTTCCAAGCAGCCAGCGCTGCCTGAGAGAGACAGGATAATGAGAGCCACTGGTGGGAGCCATGTGAAGTTCATTTGCTAATCATAGCATGAAAAACCCAAATCCACTTCAAATATTTTATCCAATCGAGTGTATCGGAAACCTTAATCTTTCACCATGTGAATGATAGACAGTCATGGGTACATTCATTTTGGGTTTTTTTCCAGCTTTGTTTTTTCAACTCAGGCAGATATGCCTGCCATACTCACTTCTGGCCGGCCAGGTGTGCGCAGCAGCACACAGAGCGGGTGTCAGATGGAGGGATGGGGCCATGTTCCCCATTACAGTAAAGCAGTCCCAGGCCACCAGAAGTAGGGACCAGGTAGAGCCAAGAGCACCATCCACCAGATCGTGTAGCTTAGGTGTCACAGGTTCAAATGGCTGTGCAGGGCGGGGAGAGGGCTGAGGGAAGAGAACCTGTTAAGCCATGAGAAGTGACCAGTGGGCTTACGCTCAGCTGCAGTCGCTGCTAAGTGTCAGAACTCTGTTATTGGATCCCTTCATGGCTTTTCCAAGAGGAGGATAAATCCTTTCAGGTGACATTTCCTGAATTTAAAGATTGGCAACCATTTGGATGTAAAACTCTCCGGGGGCAGGGCACACAAAATCCTGACGGGGCTGGAGTGGGGGCAGCTCCGATGTCCTCTGAACACCACCCCCTGCCTCCCCCTCCCGTGCACTGGTTTGCCCAGCTGGCTCCTCCTTCCGGCTCCCTGGCCTCTCCCTGCCCTGGGCCAGGAGCCCTGGCTTCTGTCAGTGTGACACAGATTTTAGGCATCCAGTTGGTCAACCGTGGTACACAGATTTCTGATTCAACATTATTCTGGATGTTTGGTGGGTCTCATCCAATCAGTGGAAGGCCTGAATGGAGCAAAAGACTGACCTTGTCTGAGTCAGGGAGTTCTCCGGAAGCTTGCCTTCAGGTTCTAGCTGCAGGGCCAGTGAGAGGAGGGTCAGTTAGGAGGCTGGGCCTGTGCTGGGCGTCCACAACAGGCGAGTCCAGACTCCACCGGCCCAGGCTGGGGACAGCCACCACCTCACTGCGCCGCCCAGGGCTGCTCATCCCCAGTGCTGCCCAGCTCAGCAGGGCAGCGGACGCCTCTGCAAGAGCCTTAACACAGCCCCCCCCCAGTGTCAGGAGCGCCAGCAGACCCCCTCAGAACCCAGTCCCACGCCGCCTCCTCAGAGGCGTCCTTCGGCCACCCTGGCCTCTGAGTCACTCCCCTACATTATCCAGTTTCATTTCTTCTTCCCCAGAGCTGTGACTCAGTCCTGTGATGGAGGCGTCCACCTGCCCACGGCCACCCCGGCCGCTATGTGAAGTTGCACGTGGGCGAGGACAGTGGGCCGGCATTCAGTGAGTGCTAAACACTCACACGTGAAAAAGACTGGCACAGATCCCAGGTCACTGTGCCGGGGTAATTTGCCCCGCTGCTGGAGCCAAACTAAGTTTGTGCTTTTCTAAGTTTATGTGGTGGGAGAGAAACTAATAAACAAGGAAATGCGTGATTCAGTGTCCTATGTACTAAGAAGGAAAACTGAGGGTGAAGAGTAGTGGGGGTTACATTTTAGATGAGATGGTCAGGGAAGCCTCTCCCTGAAGGTGACATCTGAGCTGGAACCTGAATAAAGTGATGGTGACAGCCAGGCCTGGTATTAGGAGCAGGGTTTTAGGTACCGAGAAGAGCACGTGCAAAGGCCCTGAGGTAAAGGCAGGAGCCTTTACCAGGGATTTGGGACTTTGAAACTCTCTTTTGTTCAGAAAGGCAACAATTCTCTGCTCTGGTGTTGATCAACATTCTTTATTTTATAACAGTTTTGATCAGAAGTGTTTGAAATCATGACCAGGCATTGCCCAGTCTGTGGCTTTTCTATTTGAGGACATCACCCGTCCCCCTGCGGATATCATTGACTGTGGATTTAATACTGACTGGTGGGATTAATGCAGGGCCTGTGGCAGAGCGTGACCTTCAGCTCAGGGGTTCCCGCCCTCCTTCCTCTGCTACTCTTAGGGAAACACTGAATCACCTGTGCCTTCCCAAGGTGGGGAGGGGAAATGTGAGGCTCAGCCCCTGGCTGGTGCCAGCCACCCCTCTTGCACCCCTCCCGCCTGCTCCCTCTGCCCTTGGCTAATTAAGTACATTTACCCCTGGGGCTCAGGTGGAAAGGTAAAGACCAGCAGAAGCCCCTAAGGCCTCATGCCAAGGGGTCCTGGCTGGAGGGGAACATGGGTCACCTGCCCAGTGGCTGGAACCCAGGCGTAGCTAGATGCCAGAATTATTATTGACATGATTCTAAATTGAATCAGAGAGAAGATACTGCACCCTCTTTGACCCTGCTGTGCCTGGGAGCCCCGAGAGACATAAGGAGGCTCTGCACATCTCCTGTCTCGTGGGGACCCATGGGGGCCACGGCCAAACAGGAGAACAAAAGCCACCTAGGTGGTGAGCAGCTCAGTGTCTGGGCCACAGCTTTGCAGCTGCAGAGCCTCTGCAGCTTGTCTTAGAGACAAGACAGCCTCTCTGGAGACCTAAAGGGATCAGTGGGTCAGAAAATGAGCTGGGCCTTGAGGACTGACAGCCTCCCATCCCAAATGCAGGTTTGATCAGTGTGGCTGAGCCGCGCTCCTACATCCTAACCACAGACTAGCTCGTAAAGGCAGAGCCTGTGTCTCAGGCAGCAGAGCTGGGAGATAATCGAGCCTCAGACTGCATGAGAGAGAGAGAAGGTGCACAGGTGAGGAGCCTGTGGGCCTGGGTGGACCCCTGGAGGTCAGCCTGGCCTGCTGCACATCCGATTCCCGAAAAGAATGGCTTGATCATCGTGTGTGGTCCAGGCAGCAAAGGATGGCGATGGCCCTCTGGGAGGGCCAGGCCCAAGGGGGGCCCCGGGTGCATTCAGAGTGTCCGAACGGTGTCATTGGCTAGGGTGGGGGGAGGTGCTGTGATGTTAGCCTCGTGGGTGTGGACCCAGTCCGGGAAGGTGCCCAGCTGGAAGATGCTCTGTGCCCAGGTGTTTATGGCCAGGCTGAGCAGCAGAACGCCCATCAGATTCATCAGGAGGCCTGTCCGCACCTGCAACGAGCCAGGACTGAGGGAGGGGCCTCCTACAAAGATGGGAAACCCTGGTTGCTAAGGGAAGGAAGATGCTATTGACAGACAGCACTGCAGGGGGAGAAGGGGTGGGGCCTTCCATCATATACCACCTGAGGCTGGGCGTCGGAGAGCCACTGTGTCCCCATACACAGCATGGTTTGGCCCCCCACAACTGCAGGTGCCATCACACACCACTGAACACTCAGGAAGCTTCCCCTGAGTCCCTGCTAACAAAAGAGGAAACTGAGGCCCAGGGAAGTTGG